GTACAAGAAAGAGAGGCATCAAACTTTGGCATGAAATTCTGATATATATGTACTAACTAGTCATCAAAAAATTTGAGCCCAAACACTTAATCCTAGTTTGATTCCAAAAAATTTTTAAAGCTTCTATGAAATAAATGTGAACAGCATTCTGCCAATAAAATGCTGAATTGCAATTCTTACCAGGATTTTTAGGCTAAAACAATTAACATTCAACCAAAATCCTATTGGCAAGGGTGAAATGGCTGAGGGTTTAAAGAAAAAACCAAGTTTCCAGTTACAATCTCCATCCTGATACAGGTATTCTTACTTCCTGATATAGGTATTCTTACTCCTCTCAACATCATTAAAAAAAAATCATATAACATAACAGATACACTAAAACTTAACTGTGCAAAAGAGGTTTAATACTTTCTTTCAAAAATATAAATCTAGTAATGCTGTATAACAGATTAAGACTGTGTATGCTATCCGCATGCCAAGAGGTGGAGGGGGCTGTTTATTGCGGCAGACCCATTATGCTGGCCCCTTTAAGAGTAAAGAGATGTTCCACATAAGTACATTGACCCATCTGACACTTTTCCTAATTGTTACAAAAGAAAGAGCTTGCTGATTACTCTGAAGAAAGTACACACCTCTTTCTTGAGGAAGCTTCTTTCCTGCTCTGTGAACTTTGGAATGCACCATCAAGTTCCACACTGTGACGTTATCATCATAAAACAGGTTTTTAATTGGACAGTAAAGAGAGGGTTTTTACTAAAATCAATCGGGAAGTTGATTAATAGAACAGACAACAAAAGGAATCAAAGAAATAATATCCCAAGCAACAGAATGAGACAGCTAAAAACATGAGTTGCTCTCCAGGAAATTGAAATCCTATTGAGCAAGTAATAAGATCCCACAACTTGGCAAACAAAATTGTCCTTCCCTGTGACAGATAAAGATGGAAGTAAGTACCTATCTGCAATCATCAAATGCGAGCATAGACGTTTATACTTTCTATGATGCTACTTTTGTTAAAGTGGCAGGGACGAATAGTTAATAGTCAACAATTTGCAAATGCAAATTCTGATTTTCTGACAAACCACAACTTTTTCAACCATAAACTTGCCTATCCCAAACACCGAAGCTGTTAATTTTCATTTTCACTTCCTTGCATGAACAGAGCAGCGAAAGTTTATCTCACAACAAAAGCAGGCAAGAGTCTTTTTCCTTTTGGTTTTCTTTCATCTACCCCAAACAGAAACCGATACGAATCAAGCAATGTGCAACTTTTGCCAGAATTTAAGGGGACTAACGTTCTAGCACATCATGTTCAATCTATTCAGGAACTAGATGAAGCCAAGCACCAAATTGTTTGTACCATGTGAACTTCCTATCATCAACACGTCAACGTAACTCTTAAAACATAAGCAATGCAATCAGATCACAGTTTAGTCTGTCGTTGAGGCCACTGGATGTGCGATGAGCAGATATTCGCATTTAAATTATCGGTAAAGCCACCAAAGGTGTTAACTTTCTCAAACTGTTTCTTCATATTAGGTGGAACACATGCATCGATACAGGAATATTATTCAACTCTTGAATGTCCATCAATGCATATACCTCTTTTCTTCTTCCTTTTTTTTTTATTTTTTTTTCTCGCTTTTGGTTAAGCAAATAGGAAGGGGGCTATTAAGTAGGCTAGCCCAACCTCCAAACAAGGAACATTGCATTCGTTTCACACCACACTGTATCTGAAGAGATCCTTGCTCTCTAATAAAGTAAATTTCTGCAGCAAAAGGCAACAAATTCCTTTTTCTCAAAACAAGCAAACAAATTGTGAAGAAGCCCAATCAGCAAAATTGCAACAGAAGCGAACATTATTCTGAAAATTATTTGTCGAAAAAGCTCCTAAATTATTTCAAGAAACTCTTTTCCCTTTTTTTTTTTACTAAATTTGGCAAAATTAAGCATCCCAAGTGCTCAGATTAAAAGGCCAAACCAAAGGAAGAAACAATAGAAAACCAAAAAAAAAAAAAAAAGCCTAGACCACTTAAGAAATTCGCAGGCCAATAAATACCATAAAATCCACATCCAAGTGAAATAATCAAGAATTTTCATCTAATTTCGCAATAAATGCAATGCAAGAGTCGAGAAGGGAAACAGAAAAATTTCACATACTAAAAGTTAAGGAAATGGAGGACCTGTTTGGATTGTAAAATGAATTGTTGGACCAATTTTGAAAACCGGGATCAAGAGGAGGAAGGTCACCACCAGGAACCGGAATGTCTTCAATCAATCCAAAATCGAAAACCCAGTTGGAGTCTTCCTCCGGAGATGCCATTTTCTCCGAAGGGTATTGTTGGGAAGGAATTTTTTAGTGGAGCTGTTTTGGGGAGTGCAAGAGTGAAGAGGAAATTCAGAGAGAAAATGGAAAGGAAAAGTACAAAGATAGAGAAAGAGAATGAGGAAGGGGAAGAAAATTTTATGTGGCGGGAGGAAATGGTTGGCTCTCTCAACGGTTAGTGGGGAGCTAGTTATGACGTCATCTTTGTGGAAAAGTGATTCTAAACAGAAGTGACATGGAATTTTTTATTTTTTTTTTGTCGAAAGGTCATCATGGTTATTCATCCTTTTTGGGTTAAAATGGTGCAGTGGGTTATATGAACCTCTTTAACTTGTAAAAAAAAAACCTCTTTAATAATAAAAATAATAAAAATTTCAGTTAAAGAATTCAACCGAAATCAAAGGGAAAATCTACAATGTGGTGGTAAATCACATTGCAGAACAAGAGTGTGAAGAAAAAAACTAATGAGATATCGCAAATATGGTATATCACATCGTAAAAGTTTCGGAAATAAAAATATTTCTTTGTCATTTTTATCTAAAATTTTCTTCCTATGCTCATAATTGGGTTTTTGTGGGCTACAAAAACAGTTTCTTTCACGATGTTCAAGTCTGAAACTCAGCAACAAGGAAGAATATGTCTATATCAAGTTCTTTTTTGGACTGCCCTTTTTTTTTTTTGTAGTCATTCAGTTAGGAAACAAATGAATGTTGAACGAAAATGAACATCCTGCAATGGATTAAGACTGTCCCAGGTATTCTTTCGGTTAAATAATGAACTGAATAGCCAATATAACAGCGAACATGCATAAAATGTTTCATGTTTAAAAAACTGAAGTTGTTGAATATGACCCTTTTTAAGTACTAGTAATAAGTAATCACCACTGAAAATTGAGAAATTTGAGTTTATCCGGGGAGAGTTGAATTAGGTGGTAATGTGAGAGAGATTGTAAGTAGAAGATCTTGGATTCAAAACCTCTTATTTAAAAAAAAAAAAAAAAAGAGTTCAAGAGAAGGTCATCAAATAAATATTGAGGATTTAATTAACTACGTAATCTCGCAAGAGAATTTCATAATCGACTACATTCACTTTTGGTTTTCTAATTGAAAATTGTGAACCAATTTCGAAGATTCGACAGTTGAATCTACCAAATCCCTCAAGGAAAATGTTTGGATATATGAAAGGAATTATAGATCATATATAGCAGTATAGGAAATTCGTATCAAAGAAATAAAAATTTGTAAACTTTGAAAAGGTACAACAAATTAATGTATAATACTATAAAAGTTGAATGCATGGTCTAAAATTAGACTAGGTGTCTCAAAGTACACTAGACACATCGAACTCCTTGAAAAGTGAATAAGGATAAGAATAAAGAGAAGAACAAATGCGACACAAACTAAAGGCAATATTTGACTTCAAACATAGCCATCCAAGGTGTGCTCAAGAGCATTATATTATTATTATTTTATGGAATATGGTGGCCTCCATTACAATTTTGTGGTCCTTTTTTTCTTTGCATAATGAATTGCATATGCTATTTTAGTAGATACGTGTAAATTACGTGATGTGTGTGAAATAAAAAGATATTTAAAAATAATTATTGAAAAACGCATAAACGAGCAAGTGAAATAGTTCTAGAAAAAATTTTGACATCCAAACGCTCGTAAAATTGATGACTAAGCATGCCAGATGAAATTGATGCACTGGATCCCAAGAAAGCTGTTTTTTTTTTTTTTCTCTCAGTTGAAAACAAAGAATCCAAGAAGGAAAGACATTTTCATAGTAATATAGTAATAATCAAGATTGTTTTATAGAGATTACACATATTAATAGTGTTTGATCTATTTTACATCTCTTTAATGATTTCTATTGAAAACATTCGGCTGATGCAGAATTGCAAACAGAACCAAAGACAAAAAATTCTTTATCCCCGATCCCTGTTTCTCCTTTTTGGGAACTATTTTCGGTTTTGAGTCAATTCAATTGAGAATATATGCAGTGTAATTCTTTCCTGACCACTATGGTCCAAGGACTGATGATCAATGTAATTTCAAGCCACACCCTTATATTATGCACCTTTTCTCTAGAGCTTTGAGAACCGTGGCTGCTTCTATCCTATGCAAAATATCATACAGGATTTTGCACACAGGATGATCAATAACCATAAGCACACTTCCCAATATCCAGATCCTGTTCATAATGCGATATCTTGTATCACCAAAATAGCTGGTAGCCATTAGAAGAGGCCACCCAAGATTATCTGTACATAACAAGTTGACAGATCAATGCCTCAAGATGTTGATGTTTGATCCGACTTTCGGAAAGTTCTAAAACAAGGGAAACCTCACCACGTGTATATGATCAACTCTGGGGCAACATCATGGGCTGCTGAAAAATGACATTAGCAGAAAGCGATGCAGTCTAGTCTTCTGAAGGAAAGGAACAGCTCTTTTTGTGAGTTGATGCTCTAAAAGCTCTGTCACAGACTAAAGAACAGCTAACATGAACCTGGTTTTTCTCGCATTGTTTGAGACTGTCGAGACAGATTTAAGAGGGGAAGTGTACGTTTAAAACAGCTTGATAGATGTAGTTCTTCTTTTGGTTGCTTCCAGTTCCCAGGAATGAAGATGTATTGCTAACAACATACGAAAGTACAGTAGGATTGATGATATACCAGCTTCAAAATCAAAAGAGTGATATATATAATCTGTAAACTACAAATTCAACTCCAGGTTTATCATCAATAGACAACACATTGCAGGCCAGTTATATATTCTGATTCACAAGCATTACTCAAAACAGTTATATACAATGGGAACTGAAATAGCAGCAGAACATACAGTTGCAAACAAACGAGAATCTGAAAACAAAGAAAAGCACATTTCCTTTATGCCAATGGAGCAGGAGTCGACTGAACGAGACTCTCTATCCTCTTCCGAATTTCATCAGGATTGGCACCCACCAGTTTGTCAACGGAAGCTCCTTCCTTGATCAGGAGAAATGTTGGCATGGCTTTTACTTCATACTTGGTTGCAACCTCCTAAGTAAACAAAAGAAGAAAAGGGAATACAAATTTCTTAGTATCACCACATATCTATAATTCTACCTTCTATCTTCTTGAGACAAGAAAATGGTCGTTGTGAATCTAGGCCTTAACTCCAATAAGATCATACATAATTGCAAAACGATATGGTAAAGATATATATAAACCATAACAGTCAGCTATCCAACTTTGCAGCAAGTGACTCAGTAAAGATGTCATGTGAAAATTTAATAGCTATTTTGCATATGAGGAATTGCCTCTGATTAGCCTCCAGTAAACAACAGTAATTAGACAAAAAAATGCTAAGAAAACAAGCTAGTCGAATCCCAAACCTCAAGAACACACAAGGCAAGCAGAATAAATCTGCCAAGAATGTCATTATCTATCTTAAATTGCTTCAAAATATTGTGCAGATTCTAACACATTCATCATGGCCTTCTGTTGTAAACAACATGAACTACCTATTGAATAGAATGTACTAACACTAGCTCACAATTTTCTTCCAACTGTGCAGTCCAGCCCTGGATGCTCTGTCTAGCTTCTGGCTTCCTTTCTATTTATCTATTCTACAACTACAACAATCACAAACATATACCATAAGTATTCATGATGGAACAGTTCCCACCCGCAACTACTACAGAGATGAACAGTTGAACTATAGGAAGCCAAGAATCATAGCAGATGACGTTAGTGCGGTCACAAAAAGTAAGATTCAAGGCTACCAGTCTCGTTGAGTCAAATGACAGATAATGAAGTCCCACTATATTACACTCTATATGCAAGCTTATCATGTGCTTTAGATGACTGAAATGCTCTAGGGAATGTACTTCATATGATCTTTAGAATGCTGATGGTAGTCAGAGGCCATAGGCTGTATTATACCATTATTCTTTCAACTATTGCAATGGTAGTAGATAAAATTTCTTGAATTAAGTTTTGAATATTTTGACTGGAAGTATTTACCTTCCTGTTAAGCTCTGGGTATTTCCATGTTCTACAAAAATTACTTCACCGGAGACCTTAATGATTTTGTGGACAACAGTACAGAAAACTTAAAACGGATTTACCAGTGCATCTTCACCAAAATAGCATAGGAAAAGGATAAAAAAACCTTTGAGACAGGTGAAATACGAGAGTCATACTGAGCAGCTTGCCAGAGCAGTTCATATGATAACCAAAGAGGATTTAAGGTGTTGCCAAACATAGAGGAGATTTAACAATCTTAAATTGCAGTCTATTGATCGAGTACAGATAAACTAGAACTTAGATCTGCTCAAAGACAAAAGACAAACAAATTTGATTTGCATACGTATTATCAGCTTTTATCCAGGCAACTCTTTGGTTTGGAGAATTCTGCACAAATGTAAAAACGCATGAAATTCATAAGATATTTCTTTTAGAGAGCGCAATTGGAAGGATCATGAAACAAAGACTATTTCTGATAGAAGCCAGCAAAGCTGAAATGGTTACACTACGTATTGAGCGGTGTCCTGCATTATTCCCCAAGTACTAGCAAGTTTTAATTAACATTAAAGATGTCTGGAATCAGATTCGATCTTTTTGAGCATAACAAAGTTATGGAAGGGGAAGAATATGCATACAATTTGAAAATCTCTATTACCCTTCTTTGGTTGACTGAAGTGGAAATTAAATTGATCCATGATCTTAGACGAGATGACAATTCAGTAGCTAAAGCATGCATAATTAAGCTTGTTGTACATCAAGACAACAGGTGGTGCATCCATCCTTGGTTCTTCTAGCATAGTACTAATTTTCTTAAGATTTTAACAAACAAGCTTAATTCTGTTCATCCTTGTGCAGTTTAGTGATTTTTGTACTTGACAAATGCAAATGAAAGTGAACTGCCTGAGTCTTTCTGCTAAACTAAAAAAACCATAGATGCATAGCTACTAATGCAGTACAAAATTGAAAGGAGCACACAGGCTTTACAATTGCTACCAATGCAACATCCTTCTACATACTTGTCAGCCGAGTTCATACTAAAACTTAAATTAAATGCCAACAGAAAATCACCTCTAACCCCAGGGGGCGAAGGGGGGCGGGGTGGTTGGGTTTTTCTGGGGGGTGCTTGTATGGCAGGAAACAAAGTGGAGTATTACCTTGACTTCATCCACATCAACGGACAAAAAGGAAACATCTTGAAAATCTGAAGCCAATTCCTCAAAGAACGGATTCATTGCCACTGATGGCATACACCAAGAAGCTGAAAAGTGTGCCACAATCTGTACATACAATACAACACCCCACCCATCAATACTTATTTGTAGAGCTTAAATTCATTGAGGAAATTAAATTAAAATGCAATTCAATGCTAAAAAACACTTCCAGGATTTCACTGATTTCATGTAATTTCGGTAAAACAGGACGCCTGACTCCTCATATAAGAATTGCTTAAATAGAGATAAAAACGAACTAATCTTTCAAGGTTTATTCCGAAAAATTGAAACAAATGCTCGGTTGTTCCCATACACTATTCCTTAAGAGCCCTTTTCCAATTACATCAGAAACAGTGAAAATAAGATGCTTTGTTTTGTATAATAATAGAGAGGAAGATAAATCAGTGAGCAGGCGGAAGAATTAAAGGCATATGCAAGCTTAAAGTACAAAGAGCTAAGCAGATACAACACAACATACAGGATTGCCTCGAGTTGTTGCCTGATTAACATGAAAATTCCAGGACTCCAGCGAATCCACCTTGACAACTCTTGACTTACTTTGATGCTCCTGCCCTTCCATTTCTTCTTCTTCTTGCAGTTGGATGGCCTGGCTAGCTAGAAATATCAAATCACCATAGCTGTTGAAACATGTTTATACGTAATTAAACCATTAAAGAAAGATCACATCTAATTTTTTCCAGAAGATGACAAAGCAAATCACTGCTAAATTGCGGTGTCGGACCCCACTTGTGGATATACATTGTGCAATTATGTAGTCCCCACAGCCCACAGTGCATTTGCCCATTCTTTAGTAGATTGGATTAACATTTGTCGGGTCAGGTTGAAGATTCTTCGAGGACCTGAAGCAAATCCTCCTATGTGGATTTGTTCACACAATTTAGGAAATACTAGTTCAAGAAATCAAGATCATGAGGGCACTCATCTGTCTCTAAAATCTTTCTTTCTTGGACTCTATTCCAGACGGACAAAGGCGAATTCGAATTTGCAAGGAGAAGTTGAAAAGTGAAATGGGTGTATAATCACTATATAACTACAAATTAACACCTTTAAAGATACACGGCAAATCTCAAATTAAAATTTTATTGGCAGACTTAGAGAATGAAATTCAATTCTGAATTTGAAATTAAAAGGGCTGAGATCATCGTCCTAAAACCCATCAATCCAAAAATTCCACTCTGCTTCCTTCCCTTGCACCTTAAAGTTGCTATATGAGTGAGAAAAAGAAAAAGAAAAAGAGACTTTTGTGCAGTTGAAATATTAGAGAGAGGGACAAAATGCGAGCATAAGAAATATCCAAATTTGATGAGATTAAAAATTTCCACGAAATTAATCCCTTCGTTTGTTGGCCTAGACATTTTAGTTTTTCAGACATCACTTGGTGGTTTTTTTCTCTCTTATTTTTTTGTTCTTCTTCTATTCCCGCTCTTGTCGCAAGACTAGCGTCTCTTATTGAAGCCCAAGAGACATTTTGTTTAAGGATGGTGGTTCTAATGACCGTCCTTGTCCCGCATTCAATAATTTTCAAAAATGATATGACATATTGAAATGATATGACAATCAAGTTACTTCTTCAAAAATTAGGGAAATGACCCAAATAATCTTTCAATTCTTTATTAAATCACTTTTGGTTCTTCAACTTTAATTTAAGATCATGTCATCCTTTAATTTTTATTATCGAATCAATTTGATCCATCTACTTTAATTTGGGGCTATGCCCTAAATTAGCTCGATAATTAAGGTTAAGAGACAAAATTATCCCAAACTAAAGTGAAAGGAGCAAAATGATCAAGTAAAAGGATAAGGGATGACATTGCCCTAAATTAAAATTGAAGGACCAGAAGTAGTTCGATAAAAGTGTTGGAGGACTATTTGGGTCATTTGCCTTAAAAATTTCTCTTGTTCTTAGCTATGCGTGCAATTTGGCAAAACAAACTTACCTTTGGATTCTGCTAATGGTTTTTGTCAAACTGCTGAGATGCAATACTTATATATGAAATTTGAGGAAGTTAAAGGCATTTCAATTTTCTCAGCTCAATATAGAAAAGAGTTTGTTTAACAGTGTTCTTAAATTTTTAAAATTTTTCGCAGTTCAATTTGCTAATTATGTTTCTGAACTTTTATATTCTATTAATATTCTTTTTGTTGGGTTGGAACTAGAATAGTTTCTATGTCTTCTTTTTTTTTTTTTTTTTTTTTTTTTTTTTGTGTTAACGCTAATCTGGTGACTAGTCACCGTATTGGGCCTCGACTAATTATGTTTTTTCGATTCACAATATTTGAACTTGAGATCTTGTTTAAGGGATATCAAGTTTCTCGCCACTTAACCCAACAACGATTAATAAAGAGTTTATGTATTACTAAAATGTTAACATGCTCTGTTGAAAAATTTTCACATTAACAACGTATAACAAGTAACCATAAACTAGGTAATTAAGATAGACATTTTGGGAGCTAACGCATCCAATAATAGCACCAATTTTCCCGCCGGATTTGTTTGGATTGCTTCATATTTCCCCAATTTTATTTGCTTACATCATCTTTACAATTTCCAATACACCTTTTTATCTTCCCAATATCTTTTTATCTCACATACATCACATCACAAAAAGTGCTACAGTAAAAATATCCCAAATAATCCCAAATAACTTACAATCCAAACAGCCTGTTTGTTAGTATGATTACTTTTCATTGGTTTTCAATTTGCTTTCAAAATGGATCATACAACTGATGCTCATGAAAAATCCCTTGACATTTCTACGCACATATGAAATCTTTGTAAGTCCACGTGTCAAAACGATATTGAACCAATTCTAACCTGATCCAACTTGTCAAAAACTTGAACATTCATTGGCCGAGGGCATATCCAAAGGCAGATAAGGTGCTCTTGAGCATTCGCTCTCCATCACAGAAACATTAAAACAAAACTCCTACATCATCATCCAGCTGCGAAAGTTATATTCGGCAAATTGCCTTTCCATCACTTTGCCTGAGAATTTTGGAAATCTTGCAAACTGAAATAAACAAGCAATGGCCCAAGCTATGGCTTCAATGGCAGGATTACGTGGATCCTCTCAAGCTGTGCTGGATGGCAGCCTCCAGCTCAGCGGGTCTGGCCGCTTGAGCACATCCAGCACCACCAGAATTGCCTTGGCTAGACCAGGATTCAGCGTTAGAGCCCAGCAAGGATCAGGCGAGACCGAAACAAGCCGCCGAGCCATGTTGGGGCTTGTTGCAGCTGGGATTGCCTCAGGATCTTTTGTTCAGGCAGCGCTTGCTGAAGCCAGGGCAATCAAGGTTGGAGGACCACCACCGCCCTCTGGCGGGTTGCGTAAGTTCTTCTCCATTCCCATCTTCTACGACTTTCCTTGTAAGAACATGGCCACGTTGTTTTCACATGAGCTCTTGCTGATTTATCCTAAAAATAGGTGATCCAATGTTGGATAGCTAAGAATTTCCACACTTCCATTGCTGTCAGCTACTTCACATAACCTATCGAAATTTTACCTCAAGATATCTCTTTCAATCTATGAAATGAATTTGGTTTTTGTTGATTAAAAATCATCTGAGATATATAGAGCCACAAGGTTTGACCATAGAGTCAGATTCTTTGGATAGCTAATGTTAGATTGCTAGTCTGCAATTGAGATTTTACTAATCATTATGTCAAAATTTGTGCATTTGGCAGCCGGAACTTTGAACTCAGACATTCCGAGAGACCTTGATTTGCCACTGAAGGACCGTTTCTTCATTCAGGCGCTGTCACCGGCTGGGGCAGCAGCGAGGGCGAAGGATAGTGCCAAGGATATTATTAATGTAAAGGGATTGATAGACAAGAAGGCTTGGCCTTATGTACAAAATGACCTTCGTCTAAAGGCCGAATTACTTCGCTATGATCTCAACACTGTCATCTCAGCAAAACCCAAAGATGAGAAGAAACAGCTGAAAGATCTCACCGGGAAGCTGTTCCAGACCATCAGCGATGTAAGTTGACCAAATATTCCTTCATGCCAACTTTGTTTTTGTGAACTGCATACTTTTTAATTGGCCGAAGCCATGTAACTGTGCAATTTTTTGGCATAACAGTTGGATCATGCAGCGAAGATCAAGAGCACTCCTGAAGCAGAGAAGTACTATGCAGCAACTGTATCTACTTTAAATGATGTTCTATCAAAACTTGGTTAAACAAAATCAATGTACCTTGGTGTAAGCTTTTGTTGAGAAATCAGATGACACTTTCAAATTTAATTTCTCAAGGAATCTTTCATAACTGGAAAGGCAAATAGAGAGCCACAAAACTCACTTTATGTGCTCAAGCCTGAGTCTTAGGCTGGTGTAAAGTAGCAGTTGCCGTAATTAATTCGTCCAAGACGTTGATTTAGGTCCAGGACCTCCAGCTAATCAAAGAGAATGAGGGATCGTGGCCCTTTAAAACTGAATATCATCGGATAAATACTCTGTTTTAACTCAGTCAAGGATGCCAATTACCACAAATGTAAACAGAAACCAATATAGGATCCTGAACAGATATTGGGCTCTGCAAGAGAATAAGATAACAAATTTGTTCACGGGCAGAAATGTTTATTGTACAAAAGTTCTTCCCTGTGACCATAACAAGAATGCGGCACCTCACAACTTGTGAGAATTTTGAAATTTGATAGCCAAAGACAGAGATAAGCTCGAGTCGATGAATTGACATTGAAAATGTTTTTCATGTCATATTCATGGTAGTGAGGCCTCAAGAAGAAGCAGTAAAATCTTGAAATAGCCTGACGCTTTGAGATCTTAATCATACGTTTTTGCGCATGCTGTGTTAGCTGGACAAAGAGAGCAGGAAATGTTTGCCACAAAATTGAATGTTCTGGAACAGAGAAAGTTCAACCATTAGTAAGGTGTCTGACATTTTACTCCGTTAAATTGCTTGGAAATTGCATGCATGAGAAAGTTCTGAACTTGATTCATCACAGAGGGATACTTGCCCAAGACAGAACAGGCAATATAGAGCATTGTGCCTAAGAACGCAAAAGTAGCACGACAAATCCCCTCAGTTTATGGACCATTTTACAGAATTTTGCAGAATTACAGACAAGATTTGTCTAGGACTTCACAACCAGCATGGGACATTAGAAGTCAAGCTTTTCTCCGTCCATATGCCGAGTAATTCATTGCTAACGCCAAAGAGAATCAAGAAGCAAATTTCTAGGACTCAAACTATTCAAGACTTGAACATAACCCTCAGGATAAAAGTTTTCCATCTCATAATCATACTAGAAAAGCGTTAAAAAAAAAAAGAGGCAAATCTAGATACTTTCCTACACTTCAAATCTTGACCACCTCTTTAGAAGCAGATGCATGATAACATTGATAAGTCAGCTGGACAAAGAGAGGTAGAAACAATTTCAGCCTGTACAAGTAATGTTTATATTACTCGTGGGAGATTGAGTATGCAAAACAAAGATGCTGTTGGGCCATATAAATTACACAAAAGTTATTAAAACTATGCAATATGCATCTTACTTTGTTGCAGAAAATAACAAACAACGAAACCAATTATCACAGGTAAAAGAAAGAAGCCGAATGACAAATTACTGACCTTACACAACATTTGTTAATTGCTTTTCTACGCTTTACTATTTCTTCTTTGACGATTTTCCTTTAAGCTTTACTAGACTTTCTATTTTGCTTCCGCTTAAGTTTCTCTTGTGCATGATTTACTTCCCGGCTAACCAGGCTGGGAAGAAATTTACACAAATTCCTTTTTGCTGGAGGACTATAAATGTATTTCGGTTCTTTTGGAGGTTATACTGGACTTGAAAGTCGTCACATCGCTCAAACCAGAAACAATCGTTGGCAAATGAGTAAGGGAATAGCGTGTCCAGATTCTTGGGGTAACTAGTAATAGTTCACGTGATTTGCACGTAATTATAATATCCTAAATTATATTATTTTTTAGATACTAAAAATTTTTTGTGAAATTTTGATCATCAACATCATAATATAGTATTTTTATGTTATT